AATTTCCAGTACAAGGGTGAAGGGGGGTGAGAACGCCCGCGTGGAGTGTTGAGGGTTCTCATGAAAGCCGCTCAAAAGGGCACGCCATACCACATTTAAATCAACACGTAAAAAATTGTCATAGGGAAGGCGTGATACGAGGATATGGGAAAGGTGAGTAGCTCAGGTCAGAATGAGAGATACCACAACAGTTTAGCACACGTTTGGTCAATAGATCGGCTTTACTTGTCTCTTTGACGAGTTGTTGTATGGTGCTACGAATGGCAAGACTCATTGACGATGCTGACTACGATACCGCCGAAACGTCTGGGAATGTACCACGTCCACGGTCCGACTTTGGAAATGATCATGCATACGATGGACTCCAGACTAGGTGCATTCCTCTAAGTCATCCTACAAATATGGCAAAGTTGCGGAAACAAGGTCAAACAACTTCTATACAATGAAAGGAGACTGCGAGCACGCAAAAGGCTTCATACATTCGATTTCAAATGTTTACTTGTTTTAAGGTTGCATTGTGGCGAAATACTACTCATACCTTATCATAGCTATTTTCTCCTTCTCCCCACCTCGATCAAAACCAATTTATCATTTTTAGCTAGATTAAAGTCCTTCACGATCTTTGTTAGCGTAGATGCCAATTACTACTTTCGTTCGCCAAAATTTTTATATAATACTTTCCGCAACTACTATTTATATCCGTCCATACTCGTTTATTTTAATAACCATTTAAATTAAAAATGGGCTCATTAGTCATCATCCTGATAGAAACTCGTTATTCATCCACACAGAGCCAAAATCGTACTTTCAGCTTGGTCAAAGGGAGTAACATTAGCAACAACAACCTCTTTCGGCCCACTGTATGGTCTGGAGGCAATCCAAGTGGAGACCCATTTCATAATCCCTCCGTTGGAGGAGAGGCACTGGAAGTGAGAAACATCAGAGGCATTTCCTCTATCGACAGCAGTTTGGCCGTTACGATGGTATCAGAGTCTGCCACTGCCGTCGGAGTAGGCGGCTGCGGAGATGACGTTGGTCTTCTAGCCTCCACTTCCGTATCTGGTTCTTCAGGACTCAGTAGAGCCGCACGAACTTACAAATCAAATTTGGCTCCTACTCACTCACCCTTAGCATCTGCTTCCTCCTCTTCGACGTCGGCAGCGACTCTCAGCCAAGCGGAGATTCAAATATTGCCTTTCTCAGCGTCACCTTCACTGGCAACGGCGGCTCCAGTCCTGCTTAATGCTGGAAGACCTGATAGAACTGGCCCCATTCCTTCTTCTTTGTGCATTACTGCTGCCGCTTCATCTTCCTCTTATACCTCACCCTCCAGCCACATACCCTTAGGTCGTAAACTCGGCAGTCAAATGCAGGCACAGCTGGCGGCCGGTGATTTCGCCCGACATGGATTTGATGCGGCTTCTAAGGGCCGTTCGTGTGAACGCGAATTACGGCGCCTGCAACACGAGCTACAGATGATGCGCGAACAGGTTGGTAACGCTGGTCGAAAATAAAATAATAGAACGAAACAAATCCCGTGGACTAACAGCACTGCTTTTCACGTATTTTTTCATGAATAGGCAAACGTAAAGTCGTTTTCATCCTTTAATTTATTGCCCTTTCGTTGGAATACTCATAGTGATGTGATGAGACTTGGTTCCTTATTGCATTGTATGCCGAAAATACTCTCTCCCATGATAGGCAACAGCCTCAACTGCTCCCTTAACTCATCATCATCGCCAGTGGGGCATTAACGCATCTTGTGGGTATTTTTAGGCGGATATGATACCTGTCAGATCACTTGGTCCCAGAGCCTGGGAGTATTTGGGCAGTCTCTCTTTTAAATTTAGGCCATTCTTTGACAGCCCAAATTCCAGTAATTTTCGGAATTTGAATTGGTGTGACCTTCATTGGTCGGGCTCTTAGTTTTAATCCCTTTTGGAGTACTAACAATATTTTGCGATAGAACTTCTGAAATCCAGCTGACTATTCTTAATTTTTCAACATTAAACAGCATAATTAGGTTCCATACATGCTTCTAACAAATATATTTGTCCCAATTTTAACTCTGCACATTTATTGAC